TACTCAATATTGTATACTGTGACAATACAATCAAAATAATATTTTAGAATAATAGGTAATAAATGCTTAGTTAAGCTAAAATAATTTTTGGAATAACTAATGAAAAATAATGATACTTAAATTTGATCCAAAAATATGAGGATCAACTTTAAGTGACTCGAACCTACAGAATCACTAAATAGTACTACAAAAATCTTACTCAAAAATTTTGATCACAACTACGAACTTTTAAGTCAACAAAATTTTGACCCCTTTTTTTTCCCTCTTCCTTCCCCTCTCTCTCTCTTATTTTTTTCTTTGCTGCGTTGCTGAAAGGCCTGCACTGGCTATTTATAGCCAAAGTTCTGCTCCCTTGCATCATGGCTGATGAATTTTGCTTCCCTCATGTGGACAACTGTCCACTTATTTGTCACACACTTTCTTTTGTTTTTTTTTCCTTTTGTGCACGTTTCCAAATCTTACAAATCTAGAATAGGACATTCACAAAAATAAATATATATATGGATATATTTATTTATTATATGATTATGATATTTGACTTAAGTTATAGTCATTTAACTCGTTTTCACGTGAAGAGTCTATATTTAGGGTCCATTTGTTCATAAAAAAAATTATTATTTATTNGATATTTGACTTAAGTTATAGTCATTTAACTCGTTTTCACGTGAAGAGTCTATATTTGGGGTCCATTTGTTCATAAAAAAATTATTATTTATTTATATATATATATATTTTAAAAAATAAATCTCAATTATATAGAATCATAATTGATGACCTAATTAATGTATTAATGATTTATATATCTATGGGTCATTACAATCTATCCCCTTTAAAAAGAATTTTGTTCCCGAAATTCGATACTAACATTGAGAATTAAAAAGATAGGGATATCTTGTATGCATATCTGCTTCCAATTCTCACGTGGCTCCTTCAACATCCNAAGAATTTTGTTCCCGAAATTCGATACTAACATTGAGAATTAAAAAGATAGGGATATTTTGTATGCATATCTGCTTCCAATTCTCACGTGGCTCCTTCAACATCCTGATGTTGCTATAGCACCTTTACGAGTGGTATGACCTTGTTACGTAATACTTGCTCCTTGGTATCGAAAATTTACACAGGTTGCTCTTCGTACGTTCCATATTCTTGAATTTGGACATCCTTCCAATCGATAACATGAGACGCATCTGGTTCATATTTCCTTAACATGGATACATGAAATATATCATGTATTCTTGATAACTGAACTGGCAAGGCAAGTTGATAAACTACATTTTCAATACGTTGTATCACCTCAAAGAGTCCAATGTATCTGGGAGCCAATTTACCCTTTTTCCCAAATCTAGATATTCCTTTCCTAGGANCATTTTCAATACGTTGTATCACCTCAAAGAGTCCAATGTATCTGGGAGCCAATTTACCCTTTTTCCCAAATCTAGATATTCCTTTCCTAGGAGATACCTTCAAGAATACATAATCACCCATTTGAAATTCTAAGGGTCTCCTCCTTTGATCTATATAACTCTTTTGTCCACTTTGATCCGTGCGTAGCTGATCCTGAACTACTTGATCTTCTAAGTGGTTTCTCGGACAATTTCTGCACCAAATAAAATGCAATCACTAGCTTCGCCCCAACATAGAGGTGATCTATAGGTTCATCCGTACAAAGCCTCATACAGAGCCATGTCAATACTGTTTTAATAGCTATTGTTGTAAACAAATTCCACCAATGGAAGATGTTTATTCCAACTGTCTTTGAAATCTAGAGCGCAAGCNGTGATCTATAGGTTCATCCGTACAAAGCCTCATACAGAGCCATGTCAATACTGTTTTGATAGCTATTGTTGTAAACAAATTCCACCAATGGAAGATGTTTATTCCAACTGTCTTTGAAATCTAGAGCGCAAGATCGTAACATATCTTCCAATATTTGGATCACCCTTTCAGATTGACCATTTGTTTGAGGATGGTAGACAGTACTGAAATGCAACTCGGTTCCCATGGCTTTTTGTAAACTCTGCCAAAATTGAGCCACAAAACAATCTAATACAATTGATAACGGTACCTCATGTAATCTTACAATTTCCAGTATATAAAGTTGACTTAATGTAGCTAGAGTATCAGTATTTTTCATGGCTAAGAAATGAGCTGATTTGATGAGTTGATCCATTATAACCCATACTGCATTGTATCCCTTGGTAGGTCTAGGCAATCCAATCACAAAGTCCATAGTGATATGATCTCATTTCCATTATAGAATAGGTAAGAATTGTAACAACCCACCAGGTTTTTGATGCTCTACTTTTACTATCTGACATATAACACATCAAGCTATAAATTTAGCCACATTCTTCTTCATTCCTTTCCACCAATATTTATGCTTCATATCTTGATACATTTTCGTGCTACCAGGATGTGTGGAAAATTTAGAGCGATGGCATTTCCTGAGTATCTTCTCTTTCAACTGAGCAATATCGCGTACACATAACCTTCCTTGATATAATAATTTCCCCTTTTGTATCCACCAATTCTCAAGAATGTTCCCCTCTTCCAGTTGGGTGCAGATGGATTTTACGTAGGAATCCGAACGTTTTAATTCAATAACTTTTTGCCGAAGGACTGGTTGAGCAACAAAATTAAACAAATGTGGTTAACCTCCTTCTTCACCCATCCAGATGTCATAGTCTTTTAGTGTCTCCCTCAATCACCATTTGTCCTTCATCACGTTGATCACTGCACTTTGGGATTTTTTGCTCAATGCATCAGCTACCATGTTAGCTTTCCCCGGATAGTATTGAAGTGTGAAATCATAATCCTTGAGATACTCTATCCAGCGTCGTTATCGAAGATTCAAGTCTTTTTGAGTGAATATATACTTGAGACTTTTGTGATCCGAGTATATCTGAAATTTTTCCCCATATAGATAACAACGCCACAACTTCGGAGCAAAGACAACANGGAGATTCAAGTCTTTTTGAGTGAATATATACTTAAGACTTTTGTGATCCGAGTATGTCTGAAATTTTTCCCCATATAGATAACAACGCCACAACTTCGGAGCAAAGACAACATATGTTAGTTCCAAATCATGGGTGGAATAGTTTCATTCAAGAACTTTTAATTATCTTGATCCATAAGTAACCACCTTGTTATTTTGCATTAATACACATCCAAGTTCTTGTAATGATGCATCTATATAAATATCATACCCAATACCACTTTCGGGTATAGTAAGGACAGGTGTCGTGGTCAACTTCTCCTTTAAGATATTAAATGCATGTTCACATTTTTTGGTCCAGTCAAACTTTTCTCCTTTCCGGGTGAATTGGGTCATTGACATAGCTATTCTAGAAAANTTTTTGGTCCACTCAAACTTTTCTCCTTTCCGGGTGAATTGGGTCATTGACATAGCTATTCTAGAAAATCCTTCCACAAATCTTCAATAGTATCCTGCCAATCCCAGAAAACTTCGAACTTCTGTTGCATTCTTAGGTCAATCTCAATTCATTACTGTTATTATTATTTCTCTTTATGTTGTATTAAGAATATGTTGATGATAGACATTCTTATCTCTAATTCTTATAATGATGGACCATGAATAATTCAAAGTCATTGTTGATCTCTGATGAAATTACTATTGGCGAGTTATGATCTTCTGTTTTATAATCAAAATCGGTATAGTCGTCTCGCTCACCTTTAACATTCATATTGTGTAAAATAATGCAAGTCTTCACGATATCTCCTAGTGTTTCAGGATCTCGAAACTATGATGCTCCCCGTATAATTGCAAAACGAGATTGACGGACTCCAAATGCTCGCTCTATATCTTTTTTCACTGATTCTTGCATAATAGAAAATTGTTATTTTTTTGCTCCTTGTGGGGAAGAAATAGTCTGGACCAATGTTGTCCATAGAGTATTTATACATATCACATATTATAGGTGTGCCTATTGATCAAGTAATTGGCTGGGGGGCTCGCCCTTGGGCAAGTTCAAACATTAATATCATTATGAGGTCTTGACATTCCAAAAAAGGCATGCCAAAATTCATAGTTTATATGAAGCTACATATTCAAAAATTATGGTAAGTTTTTATACATGACCCTAATATTGACATTGTCATGCAATCAAACAATTCTTCCATTCTCAATGCATGCAATCTAAACTTCTTAACATTCCAAGAAACCCACATGTCTCTCCAACATCAAGTAGTCTAGCAATATCATCTTTCCTTTGAGATCTAAGCAGGGAATGAAATTTGGAAAAGATGTTTTGGACGGAAAGAAATAGAGAAAGGAAAAAGGGAAAAATGTTCGGAAATTTTTTTTTTAAACAATGAGCATTTAAGATATTATGGAAATTTTTTAAGAAAATTTTGAATATAAATTTAATTTTGTCTATTAAAGAGGTTCATACCAAATCATATTTTTTACTCATTTTTTTTATTCAAATTTGAGTTTGAGTTTGAGTTTAAATCAACATTGGAGATACCCTTATATTCATTTTATAGATTTTATCAGAATTTTTATGATCTAAAATTTATCACACACAACAAACATGATGCACTACTAGTGCATAAAAAAGACAAGGGTAGTCCCCAATCCATATGTATTAGGAGTTTTTCCCTAACTTAGCCTCTCCCAAATCTTTATTTCCAATCTCAATTTGTTTTAAACATATTTCTCAAACCCAGTCTCTTTTTAAAAATGTCATTTGAAGTGACAATTTCAAATTGAATTTTTTTTTTAAATCGTCATTTGGAATAAAATTTTTAAAGGCGTCAGTAAAAATGACGTTAAAAAAAGTGAATTGAAAACGGCAACATAACAGACGTTAAAAAGAATTAATGGGTAGAAACATCATTTGCAATGACGTTTTAAAAAACGTATTTGTAAATGATGTTTTCTACAACTTGCCCCCCACTTTCCCAAATCCCAAAGGCCCTAAGTTGTTACTCTGATCTTTCTCAAGACAGACCAAGTTGGAGTTAATACATTGATGCTGTCATGTTCTAGCATCATATGCTCGATTTCTCTGGATGCTGAAGAAGAAGAGGAAGAGGAAGAGGAAGAGGAAGAAAGAGACCTATATGGCATGGACCGCAGGAGCCCATCACCAAAGTTCTTTGAAGGAGCTTCTAATTGGCCTCCTCTAGCTGCAGCTTCTGTATCTAATAACCTCTCTGTGGTCTTCTGTTCCTTTTTTCGTTTTCCGGGGGGGAATGGTGATAATAATCAGTTGCAACCGTGGGAGGTCGGGAAATAATGACTTGTAACAAATTCATAGCCAAATTTTACAACCTGAGGCTAGATATTTTGTTTCAGTATTGACGTTTGGAAGCTATTTGTCCCCACTCGGAATTTTTCAGCCATAACTCTCTTTGTTTTCTACAGTTGCATTGCCTTTATGATTAAATTTTGTGACCAGTTTTTGCTCGGAGCTGGGAATATGATCTCATGGAATTCATTCATTACAGCCGTTGATTACTTTGAATTTCTCTATCCAAACAAACACATTGACAAGGTTTTCTCTGTGGCTTACATGGGTTCAACGCTACTGATGCTTGTTCTTCTGAATTGTTGGCCTACTTGGAAACAATTACCTGTTTTTAACTAAGGATGAACTCCGGCCAAGCTCTGTTCATTGTTGCTTTCATGGTAACGCCTGTGACAGATTAGATTTCTCCTAAGAATGAGCCTCAAGAGAGGCCACATATAGCTTATGTGGTTCTTGTTTTGGCCCTGGTGGTGTGTAGTCTAGCCGATGGGTTGACCGCAGGAAGCTTGATCAGAGCCACCAGGGAACTGCCGGGACGTTACATGCAGGCAGTTTTTGCAGGCAATGCGTCTTCAGGTATCAAATTTCTGAAACTCGTCGGAGGCAGACTCCTGCACCAGAGTGGTTTTCGTCGGCAGTAAAAGCCTACACTGGACTGATTTTTGTCAGACGTGTTAAGTGGAGAGGATAGATAACTCGATGGGTTTAGTTTAAACACTTTGGGCAAGTTGAGCTCTGNAACAATTACCTGTTTTTAACTAAGGATGAACTCCGGCCAAGCTCTGTTCATTGTTGCTTTCATGGTTACGCCTGTGACAGATTAGATTTCTCCTAAGAATGAGCCTCAAGAGAGGCCACATATAGCTTATGTGGTTCTTGTTTTGGCCCTGGTGGTGTGTAGTCTAGCCGATGGGTTGACCGCAGGAAGCTTGATCAGAGCCACCAGGGAACTGCCGGGACGTTACATGCAGGCAGTTTTTGCAGGCAATGCGTCTTCAGGTATCAAATTTCTGAAACTCGTCGGAGGCAGACTCCTGCACCAGAGTGGTTTTCGTCGGCAGTAAAAGCCTACACTGGACTGATTTTTGTCAGACGTGTTAAGTGGAGAGGATAGATAACTCGATGGGTTTAGTTTAAACACTTTGGGCAAGTTGAGCTCTGAGTGTAAGTCATAAAAAATATCATTATAAATAACATTTTTAAAAACATCATTTAAAATGATATTTTTGCCCACTAATTTTTTTAACGCCTATTATGTTACTGTTTTTAATTCACTTTTTTAACATAATTCTCATTGACGCCTTTAAAAACGTCATTCCAAATGATGATTTAAAAATTCAATTTGAAATCGCCTTTTCAAATAACGGTTTAACCCATGAAGGCATCATTTAAAATAACGCTTTTAAAAAGAGATTGAGTTTGAGAAATAAGTTTAAAACAAGCTGAGTTTGAAAATAAAGATTTGTGGAAGGCTGATTTTGGGGAAAAGCTCTATGTATTAGGCTGGCGCAAAATAATTTGGATCCCCATAGTCATTCGGCAAACAAAGTCCCACTTTGAACCATATGATTGTACCAGTTGNGAAAGTTGAACTCTGAGTGTAAGTCATAAAAAATATCATTATAAATAATATTTTTAAAAACATCATTTAGAATGATATTTTTTACCCACTAATTTTTTTAACGCCTATTATGTTACTGTTTTTAATTCACTTTTTTAACATAATTCTCATTAACGCCTTTAAAAACGTCATTCCAAATGATGATTTAAAAATTCAATTTGAAATCGTCTTTTCAAATAACGGTTTAACCCATGAAGACATCATTTAAAATAACGCTTTTAAAAAGAGATTGAGTTTGAGAAATAAGTTTAAAACAAGCTGAGTTTGAAAATAAAGATTTGTGGAAGGCTGATTTTGGGGAAAAGCTCTATGTATTAGGCTGGCGCAAAATAATTTGGATCCCCATAGTCATTCGGCAAACAAAGTCCCACTTTGAACCATATGATTGTACCAGTTGATAGTTCTACAGTGCATGCTCAAGACTTAACAAAAAGCAAAACAGAATATAATACCATCTAGAAACAATCCCGGGGTCAGACTATGACTATAATCATATTTAAGTAATCACTTCAAACAATTTGTGGCCGGCCTTCACTTAGCAAGCATCATCCTCACAAACTCCTCATAATTCACTTGACCGTCACCGTCCAGATCTGCTTCCCTAATCATCTCATCCACTTCTTCATCAGTCAACTTCTCCCCCAGGTTTGTCATTACATGACGAAGCTGCAAGATTTTGCACACAAACATGAGCAAAAAGAAGAAGAAAAAATCAAAAAGCTTTAGAGTAAGATCCCATGGGTAATCTACTGACCTCCATGCAAAACAGGGTTTCAATTTTTTTAAGTATAATTTCACTTTTAGAAAAATTAATCAGTTCAAAAATAAATAAATAGATGGGCAGAGTTAGAAGTTGCATAATGCATTTACCTCTGCAGCAGAAATAAAGCCATTTTGATCTTTATCGAACACCTTGAAAGCTTCTTTGAGTTCCTCCTCCGAATCAGTGTCCTTCACAAGAAGAAAATTAGGATACATTGTCTTGCATGTGCGCGTATGCATAATGCTAATAGGTCAGACTATTTCCTTTCGTGCTCTCATAAGTACATGAGATATCACTTGATAAAAAAAAACTATTTTTATTCATCTATTACTTTCAATAAAGGAAGAGGGGAGTGGGGTCCACTCCAATGGGACCCACTACTGTTTAAGATACTGTATGGTTTTCACACCTTCAAAGCTTCTTCGAGTTCATCATCAGAATCAGTGCCCTAGAAATTATTTGTCTTGCATATGTGTGTGTATGCATATCAGTTTAGAGAAGGATTATTTTTATCCACTTAATAAAAGGCACAAAAGGGTTTATTTTTTGTAGTCATGCTGCTCCATTGACCTCATAATTGGGACAATACTTCCACTTGGTTTGGCTTCACCATGCATGAGTGTGAGTGTGAGTGGATCAAATTACACCTCAGATAGTTCACCTTTCATTAAATCCATGGGACCCATGATGCACAACACCTAACCGGGACAAATTGCTACTGCTATATGTTACAGACATGATGGCTGTCTGATCATGAACAGAAATTAGATTTTATTTGTACCAAATATAATCCTAGAAATTGGATGTCTCTTGATATCCAATCAATGTATACACTGCACAAAAAGCACAAAGTTTAACAACAGCCTAGGCATGGCATGGGTTGTGTAAAATCCCCAGTTTACACCAGGCGCAATTATTTGGGAACATGGCATACATACTCAAGTGATTACTTCAAAAGCCAGGATACGCTAGATTTGCAGGCAAGTGTTGAACATGAATTTTTCAAGCAAATAGCAGCACATGAAAATGGTTAGCATAAATCAGGCAGCTGCCAAAACTATAACCAGACAAGTAACTAGAAACAAACGTTTGATGGTGTAAGTTTGACTTGAAATAAGAAACTGCAATAGTGTAGACAGCTAAACCTGTCATTATTCGATAAAAACAACTAAAGGATGTTGAGATAAAAAAAAAAAAGGCATTACCAAATATAAACACACACTGTGACATGCATATGGATGTTATACCAATGCATTACAACATAACCGTGCCATATGTAATCCAAATTACAATTTAGAGTCTTCCAGGCAGTACTCTTGGCTCAGAATGCTTTATACAGGATATTCGTGTGAAAGCTTCCAAGGCTCAGAGAATCTTCTTTTGGAAGTTAGCTTTTAGGTTTATGCCTTTCTTAGGTCCTTTCACCGCTGTTATGTTGGGAGTTTTCTTATGAATTACAGTTTCCAAAACAAGAAAATACAAAGCTGTCATTAGGGTCGTATTGCATGTAGGGAATTATGGATGAAGTAACACTATTGCACACATGTGGGCGGTCTCTCTCATATCGACAAATTTTAGAATCTTTATCCCAAGTATTGTGNCGAAGCTGTCATTAGGGTCGTATTGCATGTAGGGAATTATGGATGAAGTAACACTATTGCACACTTGTGGGCGGTCTCTCTCATATCGACAAATTTTAGAATCTTTATCCCAAGTATTGTGAAGACCACCATAGATACCACAATCATATCCCTAGCATCTCACGAACCAAGGTCGCACAACCTAAAATGTGGTGGGTTAGTGATCCAAATTATTCAAAATCTCGACACCAAATTATAACTTAAACCACAAATTGACTCATGATTTAAAGAATCTCATATCATAACCTCAACCCCAAATCATAATCCTAACTTGTTATTTCTTTTTTCTTTTTCTTTTTTTTTTTTTGTTTTCTTTGAACTCATATTTTGGTAACACCAGTCAAAAATATANAACTTGTTATTTCTTTTTTCTTTTTCTTTTTTTTTTTTGTTTTCTTTGAACTCATATTTTGGTAACACCAGTCAAAAATATAAAATAAGTATTTGTTAACTGTGAGTATATAAATATATTATTCCATATAAATGTTACAAAACGAACCATGTCCCAAAACAGTATACCAATTAAGTCTGCCCCCTCATATTGCATATTAAATAAGTATCGTACACGTACCACGTACTAAATCAACCCACGATTCAGGTAACATTGTGGAGACCGAAACTAGCCTACGCCTAAGCAAAAGGCATGGCAAGGCACACCGATTGTGCCTTGACAGGACTGAGGCAAGGCGAATATGTGGAGCCTAAGTAAAGCAAATGAGTTTTCATCTTCTTTTCCTTCAGTGATATTCACTGGGCTCTTGGATCTACTAAGTTGGATGAAATATTTGATGTGTCCATGCACAAGATTCCAAATAGTTGGTATAAGATATTGTTGAGCTGAGTTGTACACAAGATTTAAGTTTCAAAATAATTATCTAGCACACGAACTTAATCAATCTTGATAGGTAACTCTTCTCCCTATCTATTCATCTTCAACTTCCTCTTTGGCCGCAAACAGATTTCTGAATGCCACATCTCTCTCTTAAGCCTTCTATTTTTCTGTTTTGCCGTCTTCCTTTTTTTTTTTATTAATTTATGTCATTTTCTAAATATGTACTGTATGTTAATTTTCATTTGTCAGTCAATGTTATTTGTCCTATAATATCCCAAATTTGTAAATATTTATGATAATAATAAGTTGAATTTGTGCCTTCATATGTTTGATACAACTGCAAAACAAGTAGAACTAACAATAAAACATAAGCTAAAAGAGCATTGATTTGAGTAGTTTTGATACATTCAAACAAGACCTATTACTACACCAGTGAGGAAGAAAGGTGTGATAGCCACTAATGGCAATGCGAAGGCTAGAGGGAGGTCAAAATTAACTTTAACCAAAAGGGTATAAAAAAATTTAATAACTTGTTGTTTGACAAAAAATGTGACCCTTGAAAGGATGTAATGGCTGAATAGGATTCATTATAGTCGACCCCAAGTAATTGGGGCAATGATCAGTTGAGTAGAGTTATATATGCTTGAGACACGCTGTTAAATCTTTTTAACTGCTATAGACCATAAGAAGTAGAGACAATAACTTCGTAAGTGCTTAATCTGTTTAGTTGCATTTTGATTGGATTCTTGAACTTGATTGCTTAATTTTGTAATTGACAGGATGCTTGAAAATTTTGTTTATATGAAAATATTAGCTTTTTATTTACAAACATGCACCCTATTTTGATTGAACTTGTGTCCCATCTCGTGCCTTGCCCTTAGGCCCCATTGAGTGCTTTGATGCACCTTGCACCACAAATTAGAGTGCTTATCCTCTTCTTCCTTTGAACAAGAGGCTTACTGGTCTGCTCTTGCACCTACCCTCTTGCTTTTCTTCGGATATTTCCTTATTTTCCTCTTTATTTCACTTTATTGCTTCCAAAAAAAGGAACCCTACAGTGGATTACATCACATATACTCGCATGTACTGCCTTGGAAAAACATCATCTACAACAAATCATGGGAACATAGTCGTCTGAATTTGATCAAGAAAAGAACACTAGGGTGGCATGTTCTAAACAAGCACAAGTTGCAGCAAAATCTGTTACCAAAGCAGCATTCTAATTTTCTCTCTTAGGCATAAAGAGGGAACAAGATAGATATTAGCAGATGTAGAATTGAACTCACCTTCATTTTTCGTGCCATCAAATTCAAGAACTCAGAGAAATCTATGGTACCGTTTTGATCAGCATCAACTTCATTGATCATATCTTGCAGTTCAGCTTCAGTGGGATTTTGTCCCAAAGATCTCATCACAGTTCCCAACTCTTTGCTTGTAATACAACCTATAAAAACAAAGTGTATCACAAGGATAACTGAAATTTATTTCTACAGACTTAAAAAGAGCGTGGTTATTAAAGCAAAAGAGCAAAAAATTTTCCCCAAAGCATCAAAATAAGTACATTCTATACATGCAACCACACGAAGCCAAAAACTTGCTAGCATTACCATCAAACTAATCCCAAAGAATAAAAAAAAAATAACTCAATAAATAACTATGAATCCATGCATTTCCACCATCAAAAAAATCCAGTCCCACAAAGGATTGTTCATGGAACTACTATCAAGATTCTTCGGACCTGATTTCCTAGTATCATCCTGATGGTCATTGTTATACCATCATTTGCTCTGTTATACTCAATGGACGAGGCAGTAGTAGATCCAGCCATTACTATCAAAGCTATTGGACATCAATGGTATTGGACTTATGAGTATTCGGACTATAACTGTTCTGCATATCGGCTAAGCGAAAAGAGGATTTGTGCTTTCTTTTNGGCGAGGTAGTAGTAGATCCAGCCATTACTATCAAAGCTATTGGACATCAATGGTATTGGACTTATGAGTATTCGGACTATAACTGTTCTGCATATCGGCTAAGCGAAAAGAGGATTTGTGCTTTCTTTTCCTCGGTTTACGATTTCTTCTTCTGGTAAAATAAATGTTCCTAAGGGATTCTTAAAGTTTCAGAATTATAAGTTGCAATACTGTTTTGATGTTTTGGATTAGAAGATAAAAACTCACTTTCAAGCATTTTAACACACAAGGATCATGCATATGTTGATGCACACCGAGAAGTCCGTAAGGATAGAAAAAGGAAGGCTGGGGGAAGTATGCATCACCAGAGCATGCTATTTATGCAAAAAAATGAAGCACCTCAACTTAAATGCTATTATTCCTTTTGCTCTCTCCATAATGACATGAATAAAAAGAATGCAAGAAACTGAAGATATTAGAAAATAAAGAAAAGAAATTGACTTAATTCATTTGGTTAGAATGATAAATATTATCACGAAAAAAGCTAGTTATGTTTTGTGGTTTGAAGGCTATGACAGTAAAAGGACAATATATGTATTTGTAAAATGAACCGAATGGAGGATGAGTAGTTGCTTAGAATGTTGGGTGACGTGAGAAATCCTAATTCAAAGGGCCACTCTAACAAGAAAGACAAAATTTGTGTTTTTTGCATGAAATAAAATGGTAAATTTCCAAAAAAATTGCAGTTCTATAACTCCAATTTTCTTTTAAATACTTTCCTTCCTTGCAAGGACTCTCCATCTAGTCAAACAGAGACAAAGAAAGCCATGCCACAATTTTTCAAACTTCCAGCTAATACTCAGTCCATTAGTTGCCTGCCCTATTCACATTTGTAAGCAAGAAGCTCAGAGCATCCGGAAGTAAGTGGAAATTTAACCCCCAACTTTTTGCTTTTCTAAACGAAATATAGTGTGTTGATTCAGTGCATTCTTCATCCAAAAAAAAATATCAACAAACTTTATGCTATCCAAAAGGAGAAGCCATAACAAGGTAATTAAGGAGTCCCTCAAAGGAAGAACAAATACAAAGATCATATAAATCCAATAAAAAATATCATTTGATAAAATTAAAAAATTGATCATAACTAAGGTACTCAACATCCGGTTAAATACATGTTGAGTAGTATATAAACCTACCAGCAAATTTTATAGCGTACCCTCTTGAAGACTAACCAATAATGAAATGTACTAGACGAACAGATAAACAAATCTCATGTGGCAAACATATTGGAAGGGATCCTTTGCATGTTTGCAATGGCACTCATCCCACAAACTTCAGACACTTAACCAAGATACACCCCCATCACAACATTCTGGTAATTAAAAGAGAACACACTAAATAAATTTTTTTTTTATTCTCTTTTGTTTTGCTGATAGGCATTCTAAACACATTGACACACCATCACAAAAGAAAAATGTAATAGTAGAGCCAAAAAAGTATAGTAAGATACTAGTAAAAAAAACAGCAATATACACAATATGGTAATGTGTTGATTGATGTAACTAAGTGTTACATGAATTCCTAGCCTAGGAAGAAATTTACCACGAAGTTTGATGCCCATAGCAATAAATAAATCGTTCATGCACTATTATAAGCTAAGATGCCAATAAAGTCCGTTCAGGTCAACATTCCATGTGGTTTTGCCCACCTGTTCCCTTTCTTTTATACCCCATCAAACGATTCAAACCTTTAACTCCGTCATAGAAATCCATGNTTAGAAGATGCCAATAAAGTCCGTTCAGGTCAACATTCCATGTGGTTTTGCCCACCTGTTCCCGTTCTTTTATACCCCATCAAACGATTCAAACCTTTAACTCCGTCATAGAAATCCATGAAACACAATGTGTTTTACATGATACCCTTTAAGAATAATGTAAAACAAAATGTGTTAAGGAGATGATGTCCTTTAAGAAAAACCCATTGATAACTAGTCATAAGCACATCACACCCAAAGTCCATGTTTTCTCAGTGATATAAACTTTTAAAGGGATTTTTTGTTGGCCAATTCAATAACTATGTGCTTCAACATTAACTTNATGTAAAACAAAATGTGTTAAGGAGATGATATCCTTTAAGAAAAACCCATTGATAACTAGTCATAAGCACATCACACCCAAAGTCCATGTTTTCTCAGTGATATAAATTTTTAAAGGGATTTTTTGTTGGCCAATTCAATAACTATGTGCTTCAACATTAACTTTAAAAAAATCACTTCACGTTTTCATCATATTCAAATTCTAAGCACATCACATACCTAAGTTGTTCAGATTAGAACCATCCAAAAAATAAAAGAGTAAGGGTTTGGATCCTAATAACTTAGAATTACATCAATTTCAATCATCCAACACTTTATACCTATTAGGCTACTAGTGGGTTTACATGAGTCTTAATAACAACCGGTGGGACCCAATCATTGTTCAAAGTCGCAATATCGGTCATCGACTCGAAGGGCACTAATACACATCGGTAGCGGCGCAATATCAGATAAGCCCAAAATGCTAAATAGAAGACTCTACAATTTTGAAAANCAACTCGAAGGGCACTAATACACATCAGTAGTGGCGCAATATCAGATAAGCCCAAAATGCTAAATAGAAGACTCTACAATTTTGAAAAAAATTATAAAAAATTCTATAAAAATATAAAGAGTAAAATTCATGCATCATGTGTAAAATACAATCAAACACATTAATTGTAGTGTAAATGGAGTGCTTGGTTGCTATCGGAAATAGATTTTAAAAAGTATGTTAGTTGGATTTAATTTAGGAGATCTAATTTGAGAATTAATTAATTGTTGTCTGAGGATTAATTGTGGGTCCTAATATTTTATAGGGTCTACTTTTAATTAAATGATAAAAATAGGTAAAATTTTGATTATAAATTAGATCTTAACGACAAAATCAGATCCAATAAAAAATAAAAAGTACAAGAAGCTGATGTTTGAGTATGTACTAATGACTTAGAAATTGTTTTGGGTATTTAATAGTAAAGAGGACTGAAAAGTCTCTTTACCTCTAGTTATTAAGAGTAGTGAAGACTCCTCTCACATTAAAGCTCTTCAATCTTCATGTGTAATGGCCCTTCAAATCTAGACAACTCAGTTCCCTATACACAACAAGAGAGACAAACAGAAAGAGAGATAGAGAGAAATCCTTAAAGGAACCAACGGGCAAAAGTAGCGATAAGTCTTCACGATCAGAGCTCTAAAGCAGTTATTCTTCGCTTATCATGGTTGGGTCTTCCTCATCAGCGGTCTTTGTGAACCACAGGTAATGTGATTTTGCATCTGGCTATTGCGAGTTCTTGATTGGGTCTCAACTTTATCTTGGTTTCTGCCTTTTATTTTGGCTTTCTTCTTGTTTTCTTCTTCTTATGGGATTTAGTGACAAACTGTCCGAGTCAGTAACAAATTTAGGCCGGGTCGACTGAGTTGAGTCCGATTCACACCGATTCATGTTTGCTTTTCATGAAAAAATACCAATTAAAATAGAGGATTTCTTCAAACAACAAAGGACTGGGTCAACTATTCAATCAAATGATATTGAACATGTTTCCCATCTCTTCACAAAAAACAAGACCGATTTGTATTCGGGTTATTACCAATTTGAGTGACTCACAGATTAAGCATATCGTGTAGCGTTATTGTATCAATTGGGGCCAAGTCAGATACGACTCGGCCGATATGTTGAACCTTGAACCCAATAAATACTATCATGAATGGTTCAACTTGTTTGACACAATATATTAAAAGGCAGTGCTGAAACTAATGAAATTTGAAACTAAGAGGATGTGGATCCAAAAAGTGTACCTTCTAGTTGAAGTTAAGAACAAAACAGACACGATGGCTCATAACACAAAACATACAAGACAATATATGAAGATCTCCTCAATTAAAACTTCTCACAATTTCAGTCAATCTCAATCATCTAGCATCAATTTCCTAGGTTCCTTAGGATGTATGTGGATCGAAACAGTTGCAATGGACAGAAACCGTGGAGATTTGAAATTGAAGGGATGCAAATCCCAAAACTACTACTGTTCATACTCTCGCACACACTCCCACAGCGGATATAGACGCTGTCAATTTGGAGATTCCCTCATTTTCCGATATTCAATCATCCATAGTATCTTGGGACCAATGGTGGATACGAGTGGATCCTCAATGCTGGGTGACTGAAATTGGGGGAAGTTGGGGGATCTTGAAATTGAGGAGATCCAAATCCACACGCAACATAGGAGACAAACAGGGTTGTAATTTCTAACTCAAAACACTCTCTAAAACACGTACAAACAAAATATTAAGAAATTATCCAAAATCTTAGTGATATCATTCAATCAACCCAGCGAGAAAAGAGTACACATAGTATCATAATATAACATATATTCCACTGACATATAATAATAGAAAGAAAATACCATCTCCGTCCTTGTCGAAGAGGCTAAAAGCTTCCTTGAACTCAGCGATCTGTTCCTCAGTTAGCTGCTCCGCCATCCTCTTATATATCTATCGACCTAATATTACCACACCCCCACGCAGAGAGCGAAAGAGAGAATGCAAAACCGAGTCAAAAAGACAAGTCAGCGAGGGTTTTGATTTGGCTTCCTGCTTGTGGGCTGCGGTACTACGAGACATATATAGTCGCAAGATTGACCCCACATTACATTCATGGGACCTCTTTAGAAAGGAATGAAACAAGTAACGCCATTTGACGAATACTGGATGTGAAATTTTTATTTTGATTATCTATGTATACTATTTATAAATATCGTAAAAAAAATTTGGATAAATTACACGGACACTCCCTGACTTTTTGATTTATTACACGAACACCCTATGACTTTTTGAGAAATGACACTCGAACCCCAACGACGTTAGAAATGAAACAGTGCTAACAGAAAATGCAAAATAAAAATCTTACTCTACTTTTGTTATTACAAAAAAAAAATTTGATAATTCAGTTCAAAATCAAAATTATTATAATAGCCTTGTAAAATATCTTTGTCCTGAACTAAAACACCGTTCGTCACATCTACAAAGAAGGCAAGAGAGAACCCAAATCAAAAGAGAGAATCGATTCAACCTCAAATCGTCTTTGACAAATTCATGCGTCAATTCAACCCCAAATCGTGCATACTTCACTCCAAAATTAGAGAAATTCAAACCCTAAACCACTATGACCATGCTTGAATCAGAGAAACACTAACCCTAATCCCCCCATTGTTTTTACCTGTTTCAAAAACCCAAATCTGTAAAGCCACTCTAATGATGTTTGGATGTAGATTAATCAAATCTTTAACCTAACCTAGAAAGGGCGAAGTCTAGATTTGGCTCTTCATCTTCTACGAAGCATCTCATTTAAGGCATCTTATTCTGACTCTTCAATCCATCACAAGTTTGGCACATATTTAAATTTGTCTGTGTAATTTACCCATTTAAATTTGATCTTGAGCCTCATTTTTCATTATGTTGTTATTTTTTGGCTCATCTCTTTTTCATGTTTTAGTCACCCAGTAAGAGACATTGTTGTCCATCATTCCTTCCTCATCTATTTTCATTTTTTGGCCATTTAAAGGTTCTACAGAAATGGACAAGCAAGAGCATGACATTGTTGTTCATTTTGACAACTCTATTTTCACCATTAATCAGGTCGACCCTGATAGGTATTGTTGTATGGATATGGTAACAGATGTTGCAGAAGTTACTAATGTTTTTATGAGTGATAGTTTATCGAATGTAATAATTGCTATTACAGTTGATAGGCTAAATGATAGTGGAAAACTTGTACTTGATGGCGATGAACAAATATAGGAAATGTTTCTTTGTATAGAAATTGTAAGGAGATACCTATATTTGTGAATGATAAAGTTGGGTCTAAAGTGAGACTCCCACCTCCTCCAAATGTAGGAATGAGTGAATAGCCTAAAGTTGATGACAACAAACCTAATGCTGAAAATGATGACAAGGATGCAAATAGGCATGAAGTTGATGATGTGGATGATGACTGGATAGTTGATGGTGATGATGCCCCCAATGTTAGTTATGAGTATAATGATGATACCATCAACACACAATTAGATGAAAACAGTGACGATGTGTTTTCAGATTATCAATCAGGGGTGAAAGATATGTTAGTAGTACAGATTCTGAGAAACTTGAGGTTGAAGTGGATGAAACACATAGAAGGGGTAGGAAAAGAAAGTGCAATGTCAATAATACTTCAAGATTTGGAGTGGAGTTTAATGTTCCTGAAGATGGAAACATTGATTGGGACTTTTGTGTGGGGATGTTGTTTGGAAATGTTGACTTGTTTAGAAATGCATTGAAGGATTATATAATAAAGACAGGGATAAAAGTAATAAGAAAAAAAAATGAGAGGACTAGAGTTACCATTGAGTGCGCTGCTGAGGGCTGCCAGTAAAGGATTCATGCATCTCCTTTACCAGATTAGTCTAATTTTAAAGTAAGGACTTACAGTAAAAATCACAATTGTGTCAGGTATAGGAAGGTGCCTGAAGCAAACTCTATTTGGATTGCTAAAAAGTTTAGAAGAGAGATAAAAAACAACCCAACGATGACCCTAGAAACTTTACAATATGAGTTGCAGGATAAGTGGGAGATTGAGGCCAACCCTAGTTAGTTATATAGGGCTAAAAAGAGGACTATAGAAGAAATAGAGGGTCATCATGGAAAATCTTTTGGATTACTATCAACATATGTTAGGGAAGTAAGGAGGAGTAACCCTGGGAGTGTTATTAAACTTGATTATTTCAAGAAATATGTGAGGGATAACCCATTGTTCAAGAGAATTTTAATTTCTTTTGCTACACTGGAAAATGGTTTTAGTGTAACGCCCCAAAAACCCCCTTGGGTGACATTACATTCTAAAAACCATTCACACCATGAGAGCATTACGTAAATTCATCACAACGAAAGTTCATTCATCAACCATTCATATTTTAACAAAATTTGGGCAGAGTCTCCTTTGTACGGGGAGTTTTACCCAAAACACAACCTGTACAATTATATTACAATTGACCACACCGGGTCCACATATGCATAACTATTGACCACACCGGGTCTATTTATCCATCATAAAATAAACCTTCATTCATCATATGTCATATCCACAATGTCATCCCAAAAGAATAGGCCAAGTATGACAAATATATTCCCAAAAGAATTAAATTACACTTGCAGTGAAATAACAAAATACTAGACTTTACATGATTTCAAAATAAACTCTCTAGTCTAGTACAAAAGAAATATAACTCTAGGCATCCAGTTCAGGACCCCCGTTCCCCTCTAGGGGAGCTTCCCCATGCACTGGTTCATCTACTTGTAACTCCTCCTCATAGACGAAATCTGAAAAGATATTATTTGTAGGGGATGAGCACTAAGCTCTGTAGCAACATTCCTTCCATACTCATACAAGGTTTAGAAAACAAGTAAAACAGTTCGGTCTTATTTTCCAAAATATCATATAACATTTGAAGTAAAACCGTGACATTTGAAACAGATCTCAAGTTTAAACATTCGCAATAATTTAAATGAACAGTAAACCCAAGTCACAATGAGCAACCATAACCATTTCCAACAAGTTCTTGTAGAGTCTCATACCTCCACAAGCTCTTGTGGGAAATGCAATAGTAACACCATAATACAAAAAGGAACGCTTATTCCACCATCGATTATTATATTTCCTTTGGCAGGTGGCATACTTAAAAGTAAACTCCACCCCCTTCAAGTCTTTGTTTCCCATAACCGCATACTTACAAGTAACCACGGTCGTTAGATGTCCTTTTAGGTAGGTAGCATACTTACAAGTAACCTCTACCCCCCTTGAAGTCTCCCACACATAACCGCATACTTACAAGTAACCTCGGTTCATAAATATCCTCTTTTGGTAGGTAGCATACTTACAAGTAACCTCTACCCCCCTTCAAGTATTCCACACTTAACCGCATACTTACGAGTAACCTCGGTTCATAATTATCCTCTTTTCATACCAACAATCACATACAAGATAAAATCCACAAATTTCCCTCAACAAGCAACCATTATCAAAATCCCCAAATTTTATCATGCGACAATCTAAATAACCAATTAAGAAAAATACAAGAGATCACCACCACATCATTTTCATTACTCACACAAAGCACTAAAGTTCTCAAAACCAAGCTTGAGCAAATGTAGAAAGAGAATTCCATATTTCCCCAAAAACTAGGGTTTTAAAGCTATAAAAGAAGTTTCATGGGTAATCAATCCTAACTTTGTTTAAGACATGCCATAATTGCAAGAAAACCAAGAAACAAGGAATTCCTAGCACATACATACAAGTATGAATCAAAACATATATATATTTTAGCCTTAGCCTCAATGGACAAGCATGGAAGAAANAGATTTGGCTCTTCATCTTCTACGAAGCATCTCATTTAAGGCATCTTATTCTGACTCTTCAATCCATCACAAGTTTGGCACATATTTAAATTTGTCTGTGTAATTTACCCATTTAAATTTGATCTTGAGCCTCATTTTTCATTATGTTGTTATTTTTTGGCTCATCTCTTTTTCATGTTTTAGTCACCCAGTAAGAGACATTGTTGTCCATCATTCCTTCCTCATCTATTTTCATTTTTTGGCCATTTAAAGGTTCTACAGAAATGGACAAGCAAGAGCATGACATTGTTGTTCATTTTGACAACTCTATTTTCACCATTAATCAGGTCGACCCTGATAGGTATTGTTGTATGGATATGGTAACAGATGTTGCAGAAGTTACTAATGTTTTTATGAGTGATAGTTTATCGAATGTAATAATTGCTATTACAGTTGATAGGCTAAATGATAGTGGAAAACTTGTACTTGATGGCGATGAACAAATATAGGAAATGTTTCTTTGTATAGAAATTGTAAGGAGATACCTATATTTGTGAATGATAAAGTTGGGTCTAAAGTGAGACTCCCACCTCCTCCAAATGTAGGAATGAGTGAATAGCCTAAAGTTGATGACAACAAACCTAATGCTGAAAATGATGACAAGGATGCAAATAGGCATGAAGTTGATGATGTGGATGATGACTGGATAGTTGATGGTGATGATGCCCCCAATGTTAGTTATGAGTATAATGATGATACCATCAACACACAATTAGATGAAAACAGTGACGATGTGTTTTCAGATTATCAATCAGGGGTGAAAGATATGTTAGTAGTACAGATTCTGAGAAACTTGAGGTTGAAGTGGATGAAACACATAGAAGGGGTAGGAAAAGAAAGTGCAATGTCAATAATACTTCAAGATTTGGAGTGGAGTTTAATGTTCCTGAAGATGGAAACATTGATTGGGACTTTTGTGTGGGGATGTTGTTTGGAAATGTTGACTTGTTTAGAAATGCATTGAAGGATTATATAATAAAGACAGGGATAAAAGTAATAAGAAAAAAAAATGAGAGGACTAGAGTTACCATTGAGTGCGCTGCTGAGGGCTGCCAGTAAAGGATTCATGCATCTCCTTTACCAGATTAGTCTAATTTTAAAGTAAGGACTTACAGTAAAAATCACAATTGTGTCAGGTATAGGAAGGTGCCTGAAGCAAACTCTATTTGGATTGCTAAAAAGTTTAGAAGAGAGATAAAAAACAACCCAACGATGACCCTAGAAACTTTACAATATGAGTTGCAGGATAAGTGGGAGATTGAGGCCAACCCTAGTTAGTTATATAGGGCTAAAAAGAGGACTATAGAAGAAATAGAGGGTCATCATGGAAAATCTTTTGGATTACTATCAACATATGTTAGGGAAGTAAGGAGGAGTAACCCTGGGAGTGTTATTAAACTTGATTATTTCAAGAAATATGTGAGGGATAACCCATTGTTCAAGAGAATTTTAATTTCTTTTGCTACACTGGAAAATGGTTTTAGTGTAACGCCCCAAAAACCCCCTTGGGTGACATTACATTCTAAAAACCATTCACACCATGAGAGCATTACGTAAATTCATCACAACGAAAGTTCATTCATCAACCATTCATATTTTAACAAAATTTGGGCAGAGTCTCCNAATTTGGTGGAGTTTTGGTGGCTGCAGTGGCTCTTGATGGGAATAAAGGTTTGTTTCCAGTGGTGTATGGAGTGATTGAAAGTGAAAGGACAAAAAGTTGGGATGGTTTCTTCAAAATCTACATGGTGTCATTGGAGCAGCTCATAGGACCAAATCTTGGACCTTTATCTCAGACAACCAGAAGGTATGCTTCTAACTTGTAATTTCTTAGCCATTTAGTTTCATTTTTTAATGTCTTTTCTGATTTGTTGTTATTGTTTCTTGTTTCTTGTTTTGGTTGGGGTGACACTCTAGGGATTAGATAAAGTGTTTCGTGGAAGTAAACATAGAAGATGCTGTAAGCATCTCTATAATAACTTTAAGCCCAAATTCCCAGGGTTACTACTTAGGATTTATTTCTAGAAGGCAACTATGGCTTATACTGAGATGGAGTTTAGGGGAACCATGGATAAAATGAAAGATTTGAATTGTGATGCATATAATTGACTAATGAATATTCTTGTACACACATGGGCTAGACACACATTTGACTATACTGTTAAGAGTGACCACATAACCAATAATTTGTCTAAGTCATTTAACAACTAGGTTGGTTTACAAAGATAGAAACCAGTTCTGAAACTGTTAGAGGGAATAAGGTGCANAGCTATGGCTTATACTGAGATGGAGTTTAGGGAAACCATGGATAAAATGAAAGATTTGAATTGTGATGCATATAATTGGCTAATGAATATTCTTGTACACACATGGGCTAGACACACATTTGACTATACTGTTAAGAGTGACCACATAACCAATAATTTGTCTGAGTCATTTAACAACTGGGTTGGTTTACAAAGATAGAAACCAGTTCTGAAACTGTTAGAGGGAATAAGGTGCAAGTTAATGGTGAGGCTGCACAAAAGAAAAATGAAGGGGAGTCTTTGGGAAGGTCTGGTTACAAAGAATATTAGACAAAAATTGAACGAAGTGGTAAAGAAAAGCATGCAGTGTAATGTACTTTGGGCTGAAAACTTGGAGTTTGATATTCTTCACAAGGAGACAACATACCCTATCAATTTAACCACCACGAAATGTGCTTGTGTAGAATGACAGATTACTGGGGTCCCCTATATTNATTGAACGAAGTGGTAAAGAAAAGCATGCAGTGTAATGTACTTTGGGCTGAAAACTTGGAGTTTGATATTCTTTACAAGGAGACAACATACCCTATCAATTTAACCACCACGAAATGTGCTTGTGTAGAATGACAGATTACTGGGGTCCCCTATATTCATGCAGCAATAGCAATAAGTTCTCAAAGGGAGAATATTGAGATGTTTTTGTGATGCTTATTTCACAAAGGAAAAATACATGTTGGTTCATGGGGATATCATACATCCAATTACTGACCGTAAGATATGGGCTCCAACTAGAGCAACTCTCCATATTTCCTTATTGTTCCAAACCTCTTAACATCTCCCTCAACGTATATATGATGTATGTGTGAGGGGGAGTGTCATTCTCTCTTGGGATGATGTCAAAAGAAAGGGCAAAGGAATGGTGGAATGTGAAATGTACAAAATGTGTGAGTGTGAACAAAAGTGCTCCCCAAGCGCAAGGAGTCTTTTGAGTGTTGTGTTTTACTTGGAAAAGTTTTTCAAGGTCATCTCCTTGGGGAAGGATGTGAATCGTTTTGAAATTGGTTTCCGTGAAAAGAAAGTGTAAAATCTTTTGTAGTTTGAAGTTGGTTTATGATGAAATTGAAATGGGAAACAAATGTTGGCTAATCCAAAGGGTTCACTCCAATGGAAGTGTCAAGTCAACCCGAAACCTTCCTCCAATGGTGCATAGATGAACGGTTGATTCGTGGGAAGCGAGGGACGAGATGGAAGTGAGGATCCAAGCATAAGCCGTGACAAGTCTACGAGATATCAAAGACTCACACCATGTCCTTACTCAACCCAGTCAAACTAAACCATCGTACACCTAGGGAAGGAAAGAAGATGAGTTGAAATGGCATACCCAAGATGAGGTCTCCCTTCGATTAACCAACTTAAAGACTTAGCTACTCATGCTTAAGTTAAAAAAAAATGTAATATGAAGACATTATGAAGAAATAAAGACTAGGGCTAAGCATAAACGAAATGCACAAATATAACTTCTGGATAATCACCTCTTACTAAAGATTGGATGAGAAACTACTCACTCTTTATTGCTTTGGTAAAGTTAGAAAAGTGAGTGATACTCATCTCTCAAAGTAGAGGAGTTGCAAGGGAAAACATATTACACACAGAGCCAATCTCGGACAAAGAATGAGTGAATCACGTTCCACCCTTCACGGCTTTGGTAAAGCTCTAGAAAAGTGGATGAGTTTCACTCCTCAAAGGGAAGAAGAAAGCTCAAGACAATGTAAATAAAAGAATGCAATAATACAAGAAAAGAAAGCAATAATAACTTTTGAAGGGTTGTCCACTACCAAAAAAGTGCTATTTTCAAGAACGCAATGATACAAGAAAGCCATAATAATTTTTGGAGGGTTCTCCACTACCAAAAGATGATCTTTAAAAGAAAGATGATACAAGAAAATAATAATGACTTTTGGAGGGTTTTCCACTATCAAAAGATGCTCTCTATAAGAAAGATGATACAAGAGAAAAAGGTACTCTTTACACCTGTTGTATAGATGCTATTACAATGTATTGAAGCCACAACGTAGTTAGTATAATTCTAAAAGCTAGTACATATTTCATAATCTTGATTTCAACTCATTACATATTTAACACAACTCCAAAAGCATACTTAGGACATACACACCGCCTACATAATAGGTAAAACACAACCTAACATTACAAATAGGACTACATCACTGAAATTTCTGGTTCTTGCTCTTAGACAGGACCATATCAAATAGTTGCATTACAAAAACAACTAACACCACAACAATGAGGGCCTTCAAAAGTGCATGTGTGTCCTGGGTGTTATGACCACTATCTAAGCTGTAAATTCGTCGCAGTCCATACCCATGTTCAGCACATGGAGGCATTATAGTTAACTGCAGATAACACCAAGCAAAGAACTTGCACACCCCTTTCTCACAATTGAAATACAATCTCCCTTTTGTTGGCTTCTCAGTTTTCACTATCCTTATTGTTGCCTTCTTCCCACAATTACATTGTGTTCTAATGAACCTTAAATCCAACATCTCATGTCCTCCAAATCCTTCTTAGTTTCCACCTCCAAATCGTTCTCTGTTCCCACCTCCAAATCTACTGCTGGAAGAAGANTACATTGTGTTCTAATGAACCTTAAATCCAACATCTCATGTCCTCCAAATCCTTCTTAGTTTTCCACCTCCAAATCGTTCTCTGTTCCCACCTCCAAATCTACTGCTGGAAGAAGATGACATGTGTTTGTGCCTATAGTTACTGCATACAAGAAATACAAGTCATATTATACTTATGACAGACACACCCTTTACCTTTTTACATAACAACAGAAACACCCCCTTCTGATAATAATAACGATAACAATAAGACCCCATCCACATCTAACATAGACAATGCAAAAATATACTGTTGTTATACGTGTATATGTTTATCCATTTATAACTGTATACACAAAAAATAGATGGACATAGAGATATAGAGGTAAAGAGATATAGAGGAAGACAAAAAAAAATAAGAGAACCCTTACTTGTCGAATGAGAAGCTTTAGGAGAGGGAAATAGGTTTTTAAATGAAAAGGAAAGGGTAAAATGGCATTTCAATAATCACTTTGAAGTACAATGGTTTTGTAGACTTTGACTTTCACCAGATGGGGGCATTATTGGAATTATAATAGAATTTTTGTATGATGTCATTATATTTCGTAAGCATGTCTAACGTCTGTCAAGTATAGGGGGCCTAGATGTAACGAATTTCAAATGTGAAGGGGTCCGACTGTCATTTGTCAAAAGTTAAGGGGTGTTAGTGTAATAAACCAAAAAAGTCAGGAGTGTCTATGTAATTTACCCTAAATATTTAATTTCTTATTTTATCTTTAATTATTAATATAAAGTTTGATGGGCCCGATTGAATTACAGATTAAGCTCGGTTTAGAGGTTCAGTTTAAAAATGTAGGTTAGGTCCACTACATGAAGAAGAAAGTTAGGTCAATCATGTCATCTTAAGGGAGAGTCAAGTCAGTCGCCTTATGCGCAAGAGACTCAATCCATAACTAACAGACAGTGAGATCTCATTATGACACACACGTCACCACTTCCACGAAATTATGTCACCTGTTACGAAAAGGGAGCCGCCTCTACCAAACTACCTCAACTAATACGAAAAAGACGCCTTAATCTATTAGGAAGTGCCTATAAATTATAAACCCCGCCTGAACAAGGGGGCATTACACACATATTACTCACATTTGAGAACTTTACACTCCCTGAATAATAAAACACTCAGGTCACCATAGCCTTCATAGTAGAGTAGGTCACTCTGACTAAACCACTTAATTTGTTTTTGCTTGTGTTGAGTTTACTTCTTAATTATTACATTAAATATTTTACAAGTAGTGTATAAACATATTTTGTGCATCATCAAAGTTAATAATATCCATATATTATTTTCATCTATATATCTATCTATCTATCTATCTTTCTTATACATGTTATGTGAAAACCTTTTAATTTCCTATTTTATCCATACGTATTAATATAAAGTCAATGGTACCCACATATTATTTTTATCTAAATTTGATTATTGTATACTTATTTGACTTCTAGGTATTTTTTAACTCTTCTATAAACAATATTTGACTTTTAGATTATTTATTACTTTCATTCAACTCTTATTTCGTATATTTATTTGACTTCTAAGTTCTTATGAACTTTTTTATTAATAGTATTTGACTTCCAAATTCTTTTTTAAAAAATAAAGTCCAATATATGTTCTATTACTATATATCTGTAGTTATTGAATTAGATTCTACAATCAAATATTCATCATATATAATTTTTTTGTAAACAACAATATCAAATTATTATAATATAAATAATAATAGTACAATTTAATTAATCTCTTCAACAAAAAAATGTAATAAATCTATAATGTAATTAGAAATGTAAATATTGATAATAAAAATCTTACAATGAAACTTCATTATAAATAAAAGAAGAAATGTATAATGGGTTGGGGAGATACCTAAACAAATGACAAATTACATACTCAAAAGGAGT